TTCTCTGGGACATGATTGATCAAAGAATTTGCATTTTATACTTTTTGTCTGTGATTATGGAATGAAAGGTTTACACCCCTTGAAAGAACGTCAAACGTCATTGGCTGTAGGTGGGCCTCTGTGCCGTCGTTACAGAACGAACACTCTGACACCAGATGCGTGGGGTTCCCCCACCCACCAAACAGTTCTCCAGCTCTCCAGGTCCCAGCTGGGTATCCAGCAATTCAGTTCAGTTCTGACCCAAACTACCTGGAGTCTGGCAGACCGTACAGGCTAAGGGCTCAGTGCCACAGACCACCCCCATTTCAGATGCCAAGTCCCTTACTTCTGACTGTCCAGCTATAAATCAGGGGTTCCCATGACCTCCTCCTCAGGTTCTTTAATTTACTAGAATGGCTCACGGAGCTCAGGAAAACACTTTACCTCCACTGACTGATTTGTTATAAAGGATGTGATAAAAGATACAGATGAATAGCCAGATTAAGAAGTACATAGGGCAAGGTCCGGAAGGGTCCTGAGTATAGGATCTCTGTCCCTGTGGTGTTGGGGTGCATGACCCTCATGGCACATGGATGCACTCACCTACCCAGAAGCTCTCCCAGCCCCATAGCTTGAGGTTTTTATGGAGGTTCTATTATGGAGGCACGATCAATTAAATCTTGGCCATTGGTGGTTAACTCAGCCTCCAGCTCCTCCTGGAGGGAGGAGGGGAAGGCAGTCACGTGGTTGGCTCCTTCAGGCACCCAGCCCCCATCTAGAAGCTACCTCGGGCGGGGCCCACCAAGAGCCACCTCATTGGCATAAACTCAGGTCTGGTTTAAGGGGGCTCGTTGTGAATAACAGAAGACACTCCTCTCACTCGTAATCAACTCACTTTCCTCAGGAAAACAAGTTTTAGGAGCTCTGTCTGAGGAACTGGGATGAAGACCACATATATGTTTCTTATCGTATCGCAATGTCACAGGGAGGTTTGAGGAGAGTGGAGGGCACCTCTTCTAGAAATCACAGGCTGTGATTGGTTAGGACTTAGCCAGCTGCCTATAACAGCCCACAATAACAGTGGCTTAAACTCATGAGGGTTTGTTTTTCTCTTACATTAAAAAAGATCTGGAAGAAGGCAGTCCAGGGTTGACACAGTGGTCCCGCGAACATTCTGGACCGGCCTCCTCCCATCTTTCTGCTCCACCATCCTTAGCAGGAAACATCGTCCCCAAGTCACTTCATGGTCTAAGATGGCTGCTGGAGCTCTGGCCATCATGCCCCCATTCCAGTTAACAGAAAGGAAGAATTGAGGGGGGGGTTGCAAAGAGGAGTCTTCCAGAGGCACCACCCAACTCCTTCTGCAAGGGAGGTTGAGAAATGTGAATTATCAGCCGGGCACATTGCCCCGTGTCCCGTTGGTGAAGAAGGGGGTGGGTGTTGGGTAGATGCCCAGAAGTCTGCCACGTGTGACTTACTAGTAAGAGGGGCTGGAAGACCTGGGCTGGTCCTGTTGGGTGACTATCAGCAGGGGGCTGAGAGGGCTGGGGCGGCAGGCCTCGCCTCCCCCACCCCCAGGCCTGGAGACTGTGCCAGGCTGAGGCCTCGTCCGTCGCACGGGCTGTTCCGGGGGGTCACTGCAGCATGTGTCTTTTTTTTTTTTTTTTTTTTTTACCTTGGAATAAACAGGCCAATGAAAAAAAAAAAAAAAAAAAAAAAACACACAAACC